AAAAAAAAAAAAAAAAAAAAAGAAGTAGTCATAGGTATGTGAGACAGGCTAGGATAATTCTATATTTCCTATTAACTCTTTTGTTTTTCCTTTTTCCCCTATTAACTCTTAATCCTAAGGTAGGCTGTAGGTGCTAGAAGCTCAGGCTGTGAACTCTATGCATCTTGAACCCCTGAGGCTGAGACTAAGAAGAATAAAAAATTTGAGGGCTTTGATTTTGAAGTCAACTTATACAAAATAATTCCATTTTTGGACTTGAATTCCCTTAACCTTTAAGGGGATTTAAACTTTACCCTAGGAATTCAAAAATGGGAGGGAGATTCATTCTCAAATATAGTACAACTTTATATTGCTGACATCTTATTAAAGTATCTTTATGATTATCATTAGTTTTTTGTTTGTTTGTTTGTTTTGAGATAGAGCTTTAGTTTGCCCCCTTGGTAGAGTGCTATGGCGACATAGGTCATACTTCAAACTCTAGGGCTCAAGTGGTCCTCTTGCCTCAGCCTTCCAAGTAGCTGTGACTAGACACCCAGCTATTTTTTTTGTTATTGTTGTTGAGACAGAGTCTCAAGCTATCGCCATGGGTAGAGTGCTGTGGCATTAGAGCTCACAGCAACCTCTAACTCTTGGGTTCAAGCAATCCTCAGTTTTTCTATTTTTAGTAGAGACAGGGTCTCACTTTTGCTCAGACTAGTCTCCAACTCCTGAGCTCAGGCAATCTTCTTGCCTCCGTCTCCCAAAGTGCTAGGATTATAGGTATGAGCCATTACGCCTAGCCTTTGGCTATCAATTTTTTTTTTTTTTGAGACAGAGTCTTACTTTGTCACCCTCAGTAGAGGGCCATGGCATCATAGCCCACAGCAACCTCAGACTCTTGGGCTCAAGCGATTCTCTTGCCTCAGCCTCCCGAGTAGCTGGGACTACAAGTGCTGGCCATAACACATGGATATTTTAGAGACAGGGTCTTGCCCTAGCTCAAGTTGATCTCAAACCTGTGAGCTTAGGTGATCGGCCCACCTTGGCCTCCCAGAGTGCTGGGATTACAGGTGTGAGCCACTGTGCCTGGCCCAATACCTGTATCTTTAGAGATGGGGTCTTGCTCTGGCTCAGGCTGGTCTTGAACTCCTGAGCTCAAGCAATCCACCTGCCTCGGCCTCCCAAAGTGCTAGGATGACAGGCATAAGCCACCACGCTGTGCCATTATTATTTGTTTTTTTTAGAGAAAGGATCTTGCCCTGTCTCCTAGGCAAGAATTTGGTTTTTTTAGAGAAAGGATCTTGCCTATCTCCTAACCTTGAATTCCTGGGCTCGGGAGATCCTACTGCCTCAGTCTTCTGAATATCTGGGACTACAGGCATATGCTACCACACCTGGCTCCAATTTGGCTTTTCTCAGTGATAGGGATGAAACTCTGGTCTCCAAGAATCAAACAAAGATTTACTACCTAGTCACTGTTCATTAAGGAGCTTTCCCTTTCTTATAAAACTCAGGAGCACACAAATTCATTCTACTTTGTCAATGAAATCGAAGCCACTGGATGAAACCTACCTGAGTCGAGGTCCATGTCAGCGGGGGAGGCTGCTGAGCTGCTTTCCTTCTTCTGCTTCTTTGGACTACCTGGGCTGGACTGAGATGAAGACCTCTTGCTGCCAGACTTCACATTTGGCTAAAGGAGCAATCAAACCAAATCCAAGTAAGATGGGATACACAAGGAGCTCCATTCCTTCACTTAAATGATGTACAAGACCAATCTGAAGCTAAGTCTAGGTAAGTGGTGAATTTAGCTGTTTTCCTTTTGCTTCATCAGATATCAAAGAAAAAGTAACATGATGCTAAGAATTACAAAATCTCATAGATATACACGACACATTTTTATAGACAAGATCTTAAAATCTATTTACCGCTTGGAAGTTAGAAGTGAGGTAACTGGCAAACACATCCTTTTGTTGACATGCTTGCATTGGTATGGAACCAAACATCCTCCATTCCTAATGATGAAAAAAAGAGAAGGAAAGAACATGTATTTGGAAAAAATGTCATGTTTTGAGATTTTGCTCAGTAGAGGTAAAGTGGAGGCTTAAAATAACAGTTTTGCTTCTTATGTGACTTTTCCTCACTAGAAATTAAGGAAAATAATGGTGTGTTGAAGGAGGGGGGCTAAAACCTGTCTGCAAAATAATTCAGAAAGAATACTTAAAGACCACTTGACATAATGCTTGCTCTACCTGCAACGAGCAGAAGTTATAGGCCAGGGGTCCTCAAACTTTTTCAACAAGGGGCCAGTTCACTGTCCCTCAGTCTGCTGGAGGGCTGGACTGCGGGCCCCAGGATGAGTCAGCTGCTACTGTGGTGGCAAAAACACCTGGTGGGCCAGATAAATGTCCTTGGCGGGCTGCATGTGGCCCGACGACTGTAATTTGAGGACGCCTGTTATAGGCAGTAATGACCTGTTTCAGGCCCCTCTAGCTCTAGCCTCTCTCTTATCACATGCTGGTACTGCTAACAGAATTGTTCATCACTAACTTCTCCTAACACTCTTATGCTGAGTTTTCAATTTTCTGTTCTTCCCTTTCCAAATAGAGTACTGATCTTTAAGGTTTAGAACACTCATTTCTCTAGTATCTCCAATAGCACATTTAATAATGGTTCTCAGAAAGAATCACTTTGAGATTCTAATATTCAAATATTCAGATTCTAAACTCAGTTAAGTCTAAGGGTGGGACTCAAGGATGTGCATTTCCATTTAAGCACGGTGACTCAGGCCTGTAATCTCAGCATTCTGGGGGCCACGGTGGGAGGATCGCTTAAGGCCAGGAGTTCAAGACCAGTCTTAGCAATATAGCAAGACCTCTATCTCTACAAGAAATTAAAAAATTAGCCAGGCCTAGATGGGTGTGGTATTATGCTTGTAATCCTACGTACTCTGGGAGGCTGAGGCCAGTGGATTGTTTGAGCTCAGGAGTTCAAGACCAGCCAGAGCAATAACAAGACCTGGTCTCTACTAAAAATAGAAAAACTGGCTGGGCATTGTGGTGGGCACCCTATACTATAGTCCCAGACATTTGGGAGGTTGAGGCAAGAAGATCACTTGAGCCCAGGAGTTTTGAGATTTGATGTCATGGCACTCTACCCAGGGCAACAGAGTGAGACTCTGTCTCAAAAAAAAGAAAGAAAGAAAGAAATAGGTATAATGGGAAGTGCTTGGGAGACTGAGGCACTAAGACTGAGTGCTTAGGAGCTTGAGGTTATAATAAATCATGATGCCACTGCACTCTAGTTCTGGTAGAGAGTTTTTTGAGAGTCTGTCTCAAAAAACAAACAAGAACAAAAGCAAACAAACAAAGTGCATTTTTAACAAGTACCCCTATGGGATTCTGATATAGACCAGAAGCCCCAGTGGTGTGTTTCATGTAGTTTAGCTCTTTTTTTTTTTTTT